CACACACACACACACACACACACACACACACACACACACACACACACTGGCAGCATGTTATCCACACTGTATGGCATCTTGCTTTTTCACTTTCTGCTGAAAAACTTGGATGCTCCAGTTTGGATGCTATTCTATTTTATTACATAAAGAACTGCTTTGTTCTTTATAAAGGCTTTGCCCTGTAATTATTTGACAGTCATGTACTGAGTGCTACAGCCATTGTGTGGGGCCCTGGCATATGAGGTAAGGACCATGAAGTCCCCATTCTCAGGAACCCACACTAGTAGAAGAGGTGACTACCTGTCTAGTGAGCAGCACTGTGATGAATCAGGTGGAAGGGGAGGGGGAAACACCTGGTAGGGAGTCTGGATCTGCTCAGAAGGATCACAGGGGTTCACAGGAGAGGCTTCAGCGGCATCTTGAAGAGAAAGCCAGGGGCCCACAGGTAGACAAGGAGAGCAAGTACGTTTCAGGCAAAGGAAACAAGAAGTACCAGGTCCTCTAGAGCAGAAACTGGCATGACATTTTAGGGAACTGAAAGTGGTTTGTTATGGCTGGGGAGCAGGGTGTGTGTATAAATTAGACCTGACCAGTGGCTCTCCAACTTTTTGACTGCAACTCAGAGTTAAGAAATACATTTTACATCACCACACAGCATGTGCAAAACGGAAACAAAATTTCATGAAACAATATCCTCATTAAATGTACTGTTTTTTTTTCCCTACTGAATTCTATTCTTTTTTTTTTTTTTTTTTTTTAATGCCAGCTGTGATTCACTGCACTAATTTCACAAACCACTAATAGACACTATCTGCAAGTTGGGAAACTATGGACTATAGTGTCTAAAGACTCTGATTGTTGACTAAACAGCCTTTCCCTAATTTATATGACTGTGAACACTTTTTAAATTAGAATAGAATGACAAGAGTAAAGAAGCTTATTTGGAAATTCATTTGGCACCTACAGCATCTTAGACATTGTGCTATGTGCTAGAGGTATAGGGTCAAGGCAAAATAACATGGTCTCTACCCTCACAGAACCAAAATTTGGTCTCACAGATGAATTATGTGCTGCAATAACTTAAAAATGTGCATTTTAGTGTAACAGTAAAACATGCCTATTATAAAGAAAAATTCCAACTATGTAATAGTTGGAATAGTTAATCCCCTTTTCTTACAAGAAAAAAAAATCCTTAGGTGTGATATTGCCACTGTGACTATAAAATGTCATATTTTGAGATGTATAATGAAGTATTTTGGGGTGAAATGACATTTAATGTCTAGGATTCACTTTAAAATATCCTAGCCAAACCAAGAGGGAGATAGGAAACAAGACGGCAAAATATGATGCTTATTGGAGTTAGGTGAAAGATTCATGGGGGATTTTTTTTGGGGGGGGTGTTATTTATTTATTTTGAGAGAGACAGAGTACAAGCAGGGGAGGGGCGAGACAGAGAGAGAGAGAGAGAATCTCAAGCAGGCTGTCAGCGCAGAGCCTGAAGCAGGGGCTCAAAGCCACAAAAGTAAGATCATGACCTGAGCTGAAATCAAGAATCAGAGGCTTAACTGAGCCACTCAGGTGCCCATGGAGGATTATTATACTTGACTTTTGTGTATGGTGGGAAATTTTCACAATAGAGCCTATAAAAAAAAGAAAAATATGACATGATGTAGAATGTGGTTTATAACTCAGGTTTGGTGTTTTATACTAAATGCTAATATGTGTTCATTTTTCTTTTTATTTAGATATAAGTAAATTTTTCAGTAAATATAAGTAAATGCACCAAAGGGTTGATGGAGTCCCAACAAACCATTCAAAGCACTAAGTCTTCCTTCACAAAGTGCCCAAGAAGCTTCTTCTAAAGAGCAAGTTTGTGTCTACAGAGCACAAAGTAAAGCAAAATCATATAATCATGTGATGACAGGGAGTAGGGTGCACGATTCAGATAATTCAGTCTTTCCATGTATATTCTGACCTGAATTGTTCAGTTTGGCTGTTTCAAAACTTACAGTGCTTTAATAATTGTACATTCTTGGGGTGCTTGGGTGACTCAGTTAAGCATCAGGCTCTTGATTTTGATCTCAGGGTTCGTGAGTTTAAGCCCCACATCATGTTCTGCGCTGACAGTGCAGAGACTGCTTGGGATTCTCTCTCCCCTGTCTCTCTCTCCCTACCCTGTTTGCTCTCTCTCTCAAAATAGATAAATAAACTTAAAATTATTATTATTTTTTTTTTAATTATTTTTTTTAAAAAAGAAAAAAAATCCTCTGACCTTTTTGTGCATAAAGTTTCTGTATTTATTTCACTAGGGTAGAAGGACTAAATTTCCGGTTGGTTGAATCTCTGACCCATTGGGAACTGTTTTGGGGGAGTGTGACTTAGTTTCCCAGAGTTTGGTCACCCTTCTATGATGGCTAATTTTATCAACTTGATTTGGCTAAGGGAGACCCAGACAGCTGGTAAAACATTATTTCTGAGTGTGCCTGTGAGGGTGTCTCTGGAAGAGATTAGCATTTGAATCAGTAGACTGAGTAAAGAAGGTCACCCTTGCCAATGAGGTGGGGATCCTCCAGTCTACACTGAGGGTGTAGAGGAATAAGAATGGAATAAGGCAGAGAAAGAATAAATTTGCTCTTTCAACTTGAGCTGAGACATTTCTCTTTTCCTGCCCCTCAGATATTGGTGCTCCTGGTTGTTGGATTTCTGCCTCACCCGGGACCAACACCATCATTCCCCCCTATCCCCAGCCCCCATTCTCAGGCCTTTGGACTCAGACAGAACTATATTGCCAGCTTTCCTGGCTCTCCAGCTTACAGATCAGGCTCCATAATCACAGGAGCCAATTCCTAGGATAAATCTCCTCCTAATATCCTATGGCACAAGGCATTCCTGGTTCCGTTTCTCTGGAGAACTCTTGACTAATACGCCTATCTTGAACAATAGGTCCAATCAAATTTCTGATCAAATGCAGAAAAGTTGAGGCCCTGAGCCTCTGGTGCTTCACCCTGGTAATGCCACTTTGTGATGACACCCTGCTGAGCAGCCAGCCGGCTGGTCTCTCCAGATCGTAACTGCAACAAGGAGAGCTTTCAGGTGACTGAGGACACCGAACAATGCTCTTACTGCTGAGGTGACATAATCACTTTGGGCATATTTGTCAGATGCCTTTTGCCTGATTCTCCCAAGGCTATCCAGAGATTAGACTAAGATTCCAAGATTCTGGCATAGACTTCTGCTTCAATTTGGCTGTCCAGCTGGACTCTTAAACCTCTGAAGGAGCTGAAGAGAAAACTGTGAGGAAGTTGGATATGATCACACCTGAGGGAGAAGGTTTGATTTAAGTTGCTCACCATTCATCCAACAGATATTCCCTTCCCAGAGTGTCTGCAGATTGAAAGCTTCAGGGTGGTGGTGCATGGGGGCCACGGAGTTGAATGAAGTTCCGCCACCATATTTAAGATAGAGCCGGAATAGTTGGAACAATGTAAGCTTCATCAGTGTTCTCTGGAGAAGCAGGGCATTAAATTAAGTTAATCAATTAAGTTATTTAATTTTTTAAAATATAATTTATTGTCAAATTGGCTTACATACAACACCCAGTGCTCATCCCAACAAGTGCCCTCTCAATGCCCATCACCCATTTTCCCCTCTCCCCCACTCCCCCATCCACCCTCAGTTTGTTCTCTGTATTTATGAGTCTCTTGTGGTTTGCCTTCCTCCCTCTCTGTTTGTAACTATGTTTTCCCCTTCCCTTCCCCCATGGTCTTCTGTTAAGTTTCTCAAGATCTACATATGAGTGAAAACATGATATGTGTCCTTTTCTGACTGACTTATTTCACTCAGCATAATACCTTTCAATTCCATCCATGTTGCTGCAAAAGGAATGATTTCATTCTTTCTCATTGCCAAGTAGTATTCCATTGTATATATAAACCTCATCTTTATCCATTCATCAATTGATGGACATTTAGGCTCTTTCCATAATTTGGTTATTGTTGAAAGTGTTGCTATAAATATTGGGGTACATGTGCCCCTGTGAATCAGCACTCCTGTATCCCTTGGGTAAATTCCTAGTAGTGCTATTGTTGGGTCATAGGGTAGTTCTATTTTTAATCTTTTGAGGAACCTCCACACTGTTTTCCAGAGCAGCTGCACCAGTTTGCATTCCCACCAACAGTGCAAGAGGGTTCCCGTTTCTCCACATCCTCGCCAGCATGTGTTGTTTCCTGAGTTGTTAATTTTAGCCACTCTGACTGGTGTGAGGTGGCATCTCCGTGTGGCTTTGATTTGTATTTTGAAGCTGGGCATTTTATAGCAATTGTGTTTATCTAGGGTTACACATATACGGGGAATCAGATTAACTTACTTGTATTTAATTGGAAAGAAATTTGGAGACAGTGAAAAGAGGATTTACTGACTCCTATGGCTGCTAATGTATATTTGTGGAAATGCCGTGTTTGACTTTATTTGTGAGTGGTTTTATATTTCCAGTATATTTGGTTCCTGATCTACTTATAAAATGTTTCTGAGCCTGTTCTGCTTTCTTCTAACACTTCCTGATAAAAATATCTTTTGCTCTCAGTCTAGAGCTTTGTTTCTCCGGAAGGATATATGTTACTTTCTTTCTTCTCTATTCATTTTCTATTCAGGCCAAGGCAATTCCCATTATTTGTTGAACATGTGCTGCGAGCGCCTCAGAGCAGAAACTGAGTCTCACTGTCTTTCTTTTTCCCTCTGTGCACATGGGAGAGCAATGAAGAAGAGTTAACTTTTATTGAGCACTTACTACACAGACTTAAGCCCTGCATCCAGTGTATTTATTATCTGGGAGGGAGAGATGGCCAAGAATGCAAACAGCCAAAATAAGAAGGAAAGTCTATAACAGGCCACTAGGAGTCACAGTTAGAGTTCTGAGAAGGATCCTATTTGGTCTGAAGGTTTAGTAAAATTTTTAGAGATGCATATGAAATTGAATTGGGCCTGGAATGATTGTTAGGATTTCAATGTTTCTTTCACATTATTGGTCACCCTTTATGCAAGGTGCTGGGATTCAAAGTCTATGTCTAGCTGAGGACTCATTGAGACTCTTTTGGGAGCAAGTAAACAAAATCAGCTCATGCAGGCTTAAGCAAAAAAGGCACTTGAATGGCTGGTACAATTGTGAGTTCCAGGAAAGAAGGTGACATCAGGTGGCATCAGTCAAATAATGTGATCCCTGCCTGGGTTTCCATCCCCCCCAGCCCCCCATTTCAACTGGCTTCCTTTATGTGGAAGTGGTTAGAAGTCAAGGTGTGGAAACTGGCCACAGACAACTTCTGGATGACATCATCTCAGCCAGTAGACCTAAGAGAGAGAGATCTTTTCACTTTCCACGTATATGATCCTGAGAAAAGATGCTGATTGGCCTGGTTTGGGTCATGTGCCCACAACTATAGCCTGATGGTCCTGGAGCCGCACTGGGAGTCATGCCAGATCCAGATGAGTGAAGAAAGGGCAATTATCTAACTGCACGGTGGATCTGTTGCCAAAAAAAGAGAGGGGCCATGGTAGAAGGGATGTTGGGCAGATGAGTACAGCAGATACCCTTGACAAATGTAAACAAAAAAGTTAGAATAAAATGTGGCAAGGGCTGTAATAGACATGTGCATTAAGTACCATAAGAATGCTGCTAAAGGAGTGTGATTTATGTCATGGAAGAGGACATTCCTGAGGGTGTAAAATACATAAGCAGTGGACAGAGGTAAGAAAGCAATGGAGAACTTATAGTCCAATTTGGTTCACTATTGGGTAGGTCTACCAAGAGGAACAGAAGGGACAGAAGATGATGGGGGAGGTTTTGGGAATATGTCTGAAGTGGGACACATTTGGACCCCACTGGGGAAGGCTTTTAATGCGAGCTCAGTCTTTACTTAAGTTGGTGGATTCAAAGGGAGGGACGTGATTGAAATTGTACTTCAAAAATGCTCCCCTGATAAGTGTGGGTGGCATACGGTAATGCTCTCCACTTCCTAACCCCTCACCCTGCTGGCCACTCCTCCCCCACCTTCAGAGCCCTGGGCCCCCTGGTAACTTCCCATGGCTTTTGCCTCTTCAGCCTTCAACTCTCCTGCACCTTCAATTTTGTACCATCTGGGGAAACCCTAACTCAGAGCAGGCCCCTCCTTCCATGCTCTCTCTAAATCTGACTCCGGTAGCTGAGCAGTGCTGGAGAAAGTCACCTATCACTGCAAGACAACCCACCTTCACTCCTCATTCCCTTTCCCACATGCTGACTTCAAACCTTCTCCACTCTTTTCAACTTCTCTCCTTCAGTCTCACCCCCCCTGCTGCCCCCAGCTGGTGGATCTCACCTTCTACTTCACAAGAGAACTGAATCCCCAATCGCCCTCATCTCTCCTTCTCTTCCTTTTGCTTTTTAGGGGCAGTTCCTCTTCCTGTCTCAGCCCAGCCACTGAACCCATGCTTTGGACTCTGCTGCTCTGCCTCAAGCAAGTTGCCCTTAGACGATCCCTTCATTCTTCTGTGATCAGTATCTTCCCCATCAACATCAAACATATTCAATTCTCTCATCTTATCAAACTTCTTGACGGACTTAGCTACAACCACCCACATTTCCTCCTCTTTTACTTACTCCTCAACCCACCCTGTCTGACTTCTACTACCATATTTCCATTGATCAGTTCTTGCTAAGGGGATCAGTTCACTTATTCACCTTTAACATTCTTAATTAACTACTTTCTCCTTTGATAAACTTTCTTTTCCTTGACTCCATGAGGCCACACTCTCTTGCTCTAGTCATTATTATTTTTTTGTGGTAAAACATACATAACATAAAACTTGTGTTTTTAACCATTTTTAAATATACAATTCCGTGTCATTAACAACATTCACCATGTTGTGCAACCATCACCACTATCTCTTTCCAAAACTTTATCACCCTGAACAGAAACTCTGTTCCCATTAATACATAGCTTCCCATCTCTCCCTTCCCCAAACCCTGCTAGTTCCTATGAACTCGCCTATTTTAGATACCTCATGTAGGGGCGCCTGGGTGGCTCAGTCGGTTAAGCGGCCGACTTCGGCTCAGGTCATGATCTCGCGGTCCATGAGTTTGAGCCCCGCGTCGGGATCTGTGCTGACGGCTCAGAGCCTGGAGCCTGTTTCAGATTCTGTGTCTCCCTCTCTCTGACCCTCCCCTGTTCATGCTCTGTCTCTCCCTGTCTCAAAAATAAATAAAACGTTAAAAAAAATTAAAAGAAAATAGATACCTCATGTAAGTGGAATCATATAATTTGTCCTTTTGTGTTTGGCTTATTTCACCTATAATGTTTCCAAGACTCATCCATTTTTAGCACGTAAGAACTTTCTTTCTTTTTATGACTGAATAACATTCCACTGTATAGGTATACTACATCTGTTGATATACCTTTTGGCTTTTGTGAATAATGTTACAATGAACATTGGCATACAAGTATCTGTTTGAGTCCTTGTTTTCAATTAATTTGGACATATACCTAAGAGTGAAATTTCTGGGTCATATGGTAATTATATGTTTAGCTTTTTGAGGAAACCCCATACTGTATTCCACAGTGGCTATGCCATTTTCTGATCCCACCAGCAATATATGAGGGGTCCAATTTCTCCACATCCTCACCAACACATTATTTTACATTCTATAAATTATGGTCATTATATTAGTTTGCTCAGTCTGCCATAACAGAATGCCACATATAGGTGCCTTAAACAACATACATTTCTTTTCTCATAGTTCTCAAGGCTAGAGGTCCAAGATCAAGATGCCAGTAGGGTTGGTTTCTGATTAGGTCTCTCTTCCTGGCTTGCAGACAGCAACTTCTCACTGTGTCCTCACATGGCCTTTTTTCTGTGCATATGCAAGTAGCGAGAAGGTGTCTCTTTCTCTTCTTATAAGGACATCACTGCTATTGGATTAGGGCCCCACTCTTAGTACTTCATTTAACTTGAATTACCTCCTTACAGGCCCCATCTCCAAATACTGTAACATTGGGGGTTAGGGCTCCAACATACAATTTGGGTGGGGAAACACAAATTAGTCCCTAACAGTCATCCTAATAGGTGTGAGGTAATATTTCATTGTGGTTTCTCTAGACATTTTTTTTTTAATCTCCTTTGATGATTCAACTTCTTTGATGAATCTCGTTTTAATGTTGTAGGTGTCAAGGCCTGTCAAGACTTGTCCAGAAGCCCTCTCCTCTTCTCATCCCATACTCTCTCTCTAGGCCGTTTTGTTTTCCCTTATGATTTCAGTTACATGCCAATGAGTCCTAATTTTAAAATGGAGGGGCGCCTGTGTGGCTCAGTGGGTTGAGCATCTGACTCAATTTTGGCTCAAGTCATGATCCCAGGGTCTTGGGATTGAGCCCCTACATTCATTATTCATTTCTACACTGAGCATGGAGCCTGCTTGAGATTCTCTCTCTCTCTCTCTCTCTCTCTCTCTCTCTCTCTCTGCCCCTCCCCACCAC